TTTAGATTTTCTCTCCATACAAAGTAGTGTTGCCAAATTTTGAATGAGAACACTATCACGGCCAACTCTAAGCCATGTGTAGGATAGTTTTTCTCGAATTATTTTAATTGACGAGATGCTTATGCAACAACCTTGCCATGTTGCATCAACGCACATCCTAGTCCTTTCTTAGAAACATCACTATAGATCCCGTACACTTTTGAACTCTCTTGTACCATGAGCACTGGGGCTGTCACCAATCTTTGTTTTAGGTCTTGGAAGCTTACCTCACATGCAACCCTCCACCTAAATGGTACACCCTTCCTTGTTTGCTGTGTAAGTGGTGAAGATATCTTAACAAAGTACTGCATGAATCTTCGATAGTTCCCTGCCAATCCTAGAACTCTTCGCACATTCGTAACTGTAGTTGGTCGTTCCCACACAGTAACCACTTTGATTTTGGTAGGGTCTACGGAAATTTCGTCCTTTGATACCACATGTCCCAATAACGAGATTTGTTGAAGCCAAAATTCGCAATTGGAGAACTTGGCGTACAACTTGTTCTTATGCGGAATTTAACTCTTAAAACATCATCTTTAAAATCATAATTTCAACGTAAGCATAATTTCTTCATTGAAAATACTACCATGATCTTACGTATTCGAAAACATAATTTAGGAACAAAATTAACCATAGTAACAAAGAATTCTAACCTAAGTCTAGGAGTTTTAAAATGTTACTAGCCTATGCATGTGTCATGATCTCTGATCGTGATATCGTCGTCAATCGTATAGGGGCATCCTACCTTTACCTGAAAATGATGTAACACACAGTCTGAGTATTCAAATACTCAGTAAGTGACCCCATTATTGGGTCGTGAAAATACAAACACATGCAAGTCATGCTCTAGGGACCTATCATTAAAAACCATCATAGGTGTGGCCTTTAGTCCGAACTAAATTGGATGTGTAGTAATTCTCTACACACGAACCACACGTGCAAGCGTGAACCTCCAGGTGGTTCGCACCCCCTTTGGACCCATCATAGTTGAGCTAGTTGTCTGTAGCAACGTCCGGAGGTCAGCAGACCCTTGAGTGTCATAAGTGACATGATCACCACCATCATCGTAGCTTACACGTCCGAACTCATCATCGTAAAAGGAAAAGTAACCCGATGTTTATGTACACACAGAGATGCCTGAAGCTCCTATGGTTTCTCATCTTTAAAACATCTTTATGACACAACCCTAGTTTCATCCGTACATTACCATAAATAATATATTTGCATTAGTCTTCATTTTTTCATCATCATTAATATTAACTAGTGTTGCATCTTAGGAAAGTCATCATCATAATGCAATATGGCACTCAAAGCATACTTCTCATCTTAATATGGAACCTAACATCATATTAAGAAAATACATCACCATACGTCATCATGCTAGCATGCATCGTCGTCATTATTCAACATCATCATAAACACATCATAATCATCGTAAAACATCAAAAGGCGTCATCATATAACTCATACACATCATCATACACCATATATCATACGTCATACATCATAAATCATCAATAAGGCATCATAAGCATAAAGCGTAAATAACATGGACAGGAGCCACTAGGCACGTGTAGTCACACATCAAGCAATTTTCTAGACTATCCTATACTACGGCCACTTATTTGTTTGTTCTTAACCGGCGTTTCTCTAAATTCAAGTTTTCTAAGCTTTCATTCCTAGAAGATACTCCAAATATCACTAGAGATCGTTTCCTATTAGGTCGTTCAGTGCATTTCATTAATATTTCACAATTCTAATATAAATTCAACTTGAACTTGTGAAATAAAGCATCGTATTGACCTTATTTAGGGTAAAAATAAGCTTTAGGAGGGTTGGAACAGTGGAAAAAGGGTATTTTTTTTCGTTTTCCGAGTTGAGGAACCAATTTTTGAGCTGTAGAGTAGAGTCAGTCGAGTCGAGTCATTTAAGCCGCTCAAGCTGAAGTCAGGTTCATCGGTTTGATCTCATCAAAAAAGTTTATGAATTCTTTCTCTATCCCGTTCTCTCTGGGTTTTCTATCTTGTAGGTCGTCTGTGAGGGGTGGTTGGAGCATGGGTATTCGTTGTCAGGTAAGTCGTGGGGCGTGGAGCATGAGGCATGCTTCTTCAGGCGCTGTCCAAGAATTCCAGCGCCTCATCGAAATCCTCGGGGCTTCCAGTGACTCCACGTGAATCTTGCTTTTTTTTTTCTTTTTTTATAAACTTACCACTACAGTAAGTGATCCACTATTGGGGTTAGATGCAAGCACATACAATCATGAATGAGACCTATTATATTAGTCTATGTCCTTAGGCAACTATCCTAAGCAAGTAATTGGATGTGTATTTATTGTTTTACACACGGTCCACGCGTGCGAGTATGGACCCACCAATCGGTTCGCGTACCTCCAAGGCCTCTTTCTTTGTTGAGCTATCATTCTCTGGAGTTATTGTCGGACACCCGTTAGGAATAGTGACCATCGCAGTATTATGATAAATATAATGATCATTTTCTTGCCTCGTAACATACGTGTCCGTACCATCATAAAAAGAGGGGTATTTCCCAATGCATGAACACACAATGATACATGAGGTTCCAACATTTTCATTTCATTATCATGTAAAACAACCACTTCTGCTTTCCTTCATATTATATCATTTTATCATGACTTTCCATGCATATAATGAGGTTGTGCATTATGTCAAAACATCATATTTCATGTCAAACATATGTCATATCATACACATATCGTTTCTTTAATGTGTCATTTCATAATATGCACATATCATATCTTATATCATGTCACAACATACGTCATATCATCAAGAATATTACATTGTAACATATATCATTCACATATCATATCACAAATATGTCATTCGGCATATCATATCGCAACATATATCATACCATTCGCATATCACATCGTAAATATATCATTTCATAACCTTTCACATAAAAACGCATATGACATGTGTGAAGCCACGGGGCACAGGTCATCATACAACATACAAATTCTAATCGAACTGAAGTTCTCCCTAGTTTCAGGTACGTTTGAATTTCATCCCTCGAAGTTGCTTTAAGTATCGTTGGGAGTTGTTTCCTATTAGAACGTCCATCTCGTTTCGTTAATAATTGTGACGACCCTAAATTTTTACTTATCTAGAGTCGCTACCACCATCATCATCCATAGTCATATGCCAAATTAAACATTTAAAACTTCCTCATAAACATAAATTCCATCTTAAAACATAGCTATGGACTTAAATGTTCGAAAACATCTTTTAAATAACACAAAAAAAATACTAAATAAAATAAATAACCATTAAAATTAAAAAGACTCTATTCTAACCTAAGTCTAAGAAAGTAAGTAGAGCTACCCTATGCATGAGACATGGTCTTGAATTACGATGTCGTCGTCAGCCGTATAGGGTTGTCTTGTCTTTACTTGAAAAAGAAGCAAGCACATGGCTTGAGTATTTTAAGAAATACTTAGTAAGTGATCCTATTATTGGGGGTAAGAGGATGCAAACTCATGCATCTCATGATGTAGGGATCTATCATTTAAAATCATCACAGGTGTGGCCTCCAGTCTGGACAAAATTAGATGTGTAGTACTTCCCTACACAGGACCCACACTTATGAGTGTCGATCCCTAGGCGATCCACACCCCTCTAGACCCATCATAGTCGAGCTAGCTGTCTGTAGCGATGTTCGGAGGTTAGCAGACCCCGAATGTCATGCGATGCATGATCATCATCATATAGTGTACGCGTTCGTACTCATCATCATAAATGGGGAAGTATCTTGATGTATATGAACACACAAAATGCATGAGGTTCCTATAGTTTTCATCTTTAAATTATCTTTATGACACAACCCTATACCTCATTCATACATTAATCTAGGTAACATGCACGCATTGGCCTTTATACATTTATCATCGTTAACATTAACTAGTCGTTGAATTTTAAGTGGCATACTATTAGTGAAGTTATTTCTAGAAGATAAATATTTGAAAATTGTATTTCATACCTACAATTATATATTGTGGGGACTCTAACGTATAAATGAGAGTTATCTAGATATATCATAGCTATAGAAGAATTTCAATATTGGACTCAACTCAAAGGTTCAGACTATATGTACTATTTATCTGATCTTATAACGGGTTAGAATCTTTTTTTTAGTAAATCATGAATTTGTCTCGGACAGTATTGAAAATCTTATCGAAAGCTTAATTCAAATGAAACAATTTTTCAACCTAATTCAAATGAAATATTAACTTTATCACTCATATATTGATTAAAGTTAGGTTTTTCTTATTTTATTTTTATTAAAGTAGGATAAGATATAAACTTAACACCTAACTTAAAAATAATTATTCATCTCATTTCCTCAATTCAATTTCAATTACCATATATATTGGCTGGGAAAAAAATTGGCTATATGATTTCCTCAATTCGATATATTAATAAAACTTGTTGACACAGCTAGAGTGGCAACATCTCGGTTCATAGATTACAGGTTTGAATCTTTTTTCTCATGTTCGTAATATATTATCCTAATTGATACTCTAAATTCAAACAACTACAATAATGTTTAGACTCGAACACCAAAATGTGTCAACTAAATAAAACGTCAGACAAAACTAGAAGCGACCGTACCTATAAGAAATAATAACCGAGTCGGGAAAAATAGGTTAAAAGAATTTTAATTTTTTTAGATATTTGAATTCTTACCTAAATTTTAAAAATAAAAACAAAAAACAAACATTTTTTTATTTATTTTTTAAATTTTAACTTATATCTTGAAAGTATCATAATGTTTATAAATTTAATTAAAAAAAACTAAATATTTATAATTACGTCAATGTTTTAAGAAATTTCATTGAAGTAAATATCTAAACGTAAAATAGAATAATAATTTGAATAAAGATAAAACGATGAACTAAAATGTTACAAATAAAATAGATGATCTCCATGAAAGCGTAGTAATTAATGTAGAAACAAAATTAGTACAATTGTTAAAAGTACTGAGAATTCCATTATAATTTTACTTAGGCTAATGAAAACATTATAAAAAGGAAGTATAAAGAAAAGAAACAAATATAAAATAGTTATTCTAGGATACACGAACGTTGGGTATGTTAGATGATGAAAGTCCCACGTCGGCTAATTTAGGAAGTGATCATGGGTTTATGAGTGAGGAATACTAACTCCATTGGTTTGAGGCCTTTTGGGAAGCTCAAAACAAAACCATGAGAGCTTATGCTCAAAGTGGATAATATCATACCATTATGGAGAGTCGTGTCCGTCTAACATGGTATTAGAGCCACGCCCTAAACTTAGCCGTGCCAATAGATTGGCAAATCCTCGAATGTCGAACAAAGGACTCCAAAAAGAGCCCTAAACTTAGCCGTGCCAATAGATTGGCAAATCCTCGAATGTCGAACAAAGGACTCCAAAAAGAAAAAAGGAGTCAAGACTCCTCGAAGGTACGAAGGCAGTCAAAAATGACTAAGACTCCAAAGGAGTCGAGCCTCGATTAAGGGGAGGCGTGCTTTGTTCGAGGGGAGGTGTTGGATGATGAAAGTCCCACATTGGATAATTTAGGAAATAATCATGGGTTTATAACTGAGGAATACTAACTCCATTGGTTTGAGGCCTTTTGGGAAGCCCAAAACAAAACCATGAGAGCTTATGCTCAAAGTGGACAATATCATACCATTATGGAGAGTCGTGTCCATCTAACATGGTATTAGAGCCATGCCCTAAACTTAGCCGTGCCAATAGATTGGCAAATCCTCGAATGTCGAACAAAGGACTCCAAAAAGAAAAAAGGAGTCAAGACTCCTCGAAGGTACGAAGGCAGTCAAAAATGACTAAGACTCCAAAGGAGTCGAGCCTCGATTAAGGGGAGGCGTGCTTTGTTCGAGGGGAGGTGTTGGATGATGAAAGTCCCACATTGGATAATTTAGGAAATAATCATGGGTTTATAACTGAGGAATACTAACTCCATTGGTTTGAGGTCTTTTGGGAAGCCCAAAACAAAACCATGAGAGCTTATGCTCAAAGTGGACAATATCATACCATTATGGAGAGTCGTGTCCATCTAACATGGTATTAGAGCCATGCCCTAAACTTAGCCGTGCCAATAGATTGGCAAATCCTCGAATGTCGAACAAAGGACTCCAAAAAGAAAAAAGGAGTCAAGACTCCTCGAAGGTACGAAGGCAGAGTCGAGCCTCGATTAAGGGGAGGCGTGCTTTGTTCGAGGGGAGGTGTTGGATGATGAAAGTCCCACATTGGATAATTTAGGAAATAATCATGGGTTTATAACTGAGGAATACTAACTCCATTGGTATGAGGCCTTTTGGGAAGCTCAAAACAAAACCATGAGAGCTTATGCTCAAAGTGGACAATATCATACCATTATGGAGAGTCGTGTCCATCTAACATGGTATTAGAGCCATGCCCTAAACTTAGCCGTGCCAATAGATTGGCAAATCCTCGAATGTCGAACAAAGGACTCCAAAAAGAAAAAAGGAGTCAAGACTCCTCGAAGGTACGAAGGCAGTCAAAAATGACTAAGACTCCAAAGGAGTCGAGCCTCGATTAAGGGGAGGCGTGCTTTGTTCGAGGGGAGGTGTTGGATGATGAAAGTCCCACATTGGATAATTTAGGAAATAATCATGGGTTTATAACTGAGGAATACTAACTCCATTGGTTTGAGGCCTTTTGGGAAGCCCAAAACAAAACCATGAGAGCTTATGCTCAAAGTGGACAATATCATACCATTATGGAGAGTCGTGTCCATCTAACATGGTATTAGAGCCATGCCCTAAACTTAGCCGTGCCAATAGATTGGCAAATCCTCGAATGTCGAACAAAGGACTCCAAAAAGAAAAAAGGAGTCAAGACTCCTCGAAGGTACGAAGGCAGAGTCGAGCCTCGATTAAGGGGAGGCGTGCTTTGTTCGAGGGGAGGTGTTGGATGATGAAGTCCCACATCGGCTAATTTAGGAAATGATCATGGGTTTATAAGTGAGGAATACTAACTCCATTGGTTCGAGGCCTTTGGGCTATTGGTTTGAGGTCTTTTGGGAAGCCCAAAGCAAAACCATGAGAGCTAATACTCAAAGTAGACAATATCATACCATTGTGAAAAGTCATATTCGTCTAACAGGGTACATGTGAAACTTTTTCCCGTTCAACACTACCTTCACCAACTTCAAGCTGGGAACATTCATACACATCCAAACGATTCAATCTAGTTAGATTTGACATAGATTCTTTCGATGGCAAGTTTTTCAAATTTCTGCACTCTAATAATTTCAATGTCTCCAAAGATGTAATATTTCCCGACCATTCTGGCAAAGATTCAATGTCATTAAAACTCTCAATACACAACACTCTTAAAGAAGTGAGAAGCTCAAATTGTTGAGGAAGTTGTGTCAAACTATTAGTTTCTTTTTCATGCAACTGAAGAACTTCAAGTGAATTGAAAGGTATGAATCGACTCCAATCATGACCCTCCATTGACCCTTTAACTGTCAATGCTTTCAAGTTATGAATATCATCGAGCCCCTCTGGAAAATTATGAAAGTTTTCGATTCTTAATGTAGTCAAATTTTACATATTTTGCATATTTGGAAATGAAATATCATCACAAAAGTCGCATATCCACAAATGTTCGAGTGAGCTACAACATTCTAACCAGTTTGGTAGCTTTACCAAACTTGTACAATCATAAATGCTTAGAGATCGAAGCTTTAGAGGACTTCGAAAACTTGAAAATAACATTGCATTCACCGTGTCAGCTTCCAACCTCTGGCTATGAGTTGTAAAAATGTTTGGAATATTCGTTAGTTTGAGACAAGAACGAATGGTTAAGCTTTCGAGATGAGGAAACGTTGTACAATTCGTCATAGTAGCAACATCATTCCATTGCTCTAAACTGTCCATTCTCCAAATTTCAAATGTTTTCAATTTAGGAAATAAAGTTTTATTGTCGCAATAATTCCCATAAAACTCATCTCCAATACTTTTTACACCATTTAGGTCAGAAATTATAAGAACCTGGACAACTGTTCCAGCATTGGTAAAGTTTTACATCTTATGCAAGACCGTAACTCGAGTTTAATTAAGTTTTCAACAAATACCACAGGGTTTATCAATACACAATACTTGAAGGTTTATGTGTGGTTGAAGCCCTTCCAATACATTCAAATCATTATCACCATAGTCTTCTCTGCTTAAACTCCATTCAAAAGATAGATCATAAATATTTTCCTTCTCAACTAAATTTGCAGCCATTGCCTCCTTTTTACTTTTGACTTGTTCTCGGGATCGGAACTTAGAAAAATGGTTGGGACAACAAACATCCATCTCGTTTGTATTTTGGATACCTGTATAACCATCGAAGACTGTTGAAGTGACTAATTCCTGGAAATTTAGAGGCGTTGAGGACAAAGAAATTGTTAGAGTTACCATTTTTATTTTTATCTAGTAACAACATGCTTGATGTTAAGAAAAGATCTTTTACAGGAAGGTTGGCTAGAGATTTTTTGTAAAAACGCTAGTCCCATCAGTTCATAATGAGAGTATTTCAATCTTTTTTGATTTCATGTATTATTCTCATCTCATTATGCGCATCACATAAAGGGGGAGCCGTATGAGATGAAAATCTCACGTACGGTTCTGGAACGGAGATTCTTTGAATGGAATAACGAACGACCGTAACGGATGTCGGCTCAATCCGAAGGAAATTATGCGGAAGCTCTACAGAATTATTATGAAGCTATGCGACTAGAAATCGATCCCTATGATCGAAGTTATATACTCTATAACATAGGTCTTATCCACACAAGGAACGGAGAACATACGAAAGCTTTGGAATATTATTTTCGGGCACTAGAACGAAACCCGTTCTTACCACAAGCTTTTAATAATATGGCTGTGATCTGTCATTACGTGCGACTATCTCCACTATAGAAAGAAAAAAAAAGAGCAAATTCGATAATAAATACTAAAAAAAATAGGCTTTCTACATATGTATTGTCCAAACTAACGATTTGTATCAGCTGTAGCAAAGAAAGAAACTTCATAGAAGTAGAAATATGAAGAAATAGGTATGCCTAGATACTTTATTCTATGGATAAAGGATCTAATTGATAGAAGAAGCACCGTAAAGATCAATTAGTCAGGTTTTTGGCCGATACAATAAAAACTGCTTACTTATATCATGATATAAGATCAAAATGAAGGAATCCACTTATGTAATAGGGTGGATACCCTCCGATATTGAGCAGCGGTGTAGCATCAGATCCCAAAGACAGTAAGTCTTTTCTTTCTTATGAAAGAAAGTCTTTTTCAAGGATTCTATATCAATTTATAGATGAAACCGAGATAGTTATCTTTCAGAAAATTGTAACGATAGTGGAATGCCTATGCTTTATTCTTCTGAAGGTGGGAGAAAAGATAAAACTTATTTAATTATTC